ATACCTGTTAATCACAGGTGAGAAACCTGAGGCTCAGAGAAGTTAAGCAACTTGCCCAAGGTCACAGAGCTACTAAGTGGCAGAGCTGGGATTTGCACACAGGCAGACTGCTCCAGAGGCTGGATGTTTAACCACCATGATGGAAGGAGCTAGTATGGCTGGGGGTAGGGCGTATGAGCAGTCAGAGGTTATGGGGGTCTTCCTTTTTTTGCGATGCAATGCATTCTTGTACTTCCACTTTTGTAGTACACATCACTGATAATTCTTTGGTGAGCCCACCACCGCCCTGACCCCTGCTGGGCTGTAAGATGCCAGCGGACAGAGACTATCTGTTTTGTGCTCCACTCTATCCCCAGCACTGAGCATAATGCCTGGCACAAATGAATACCCGATAAATACTGATGGAAGAATAAATTCAACCTGTTAGAGAGCTGGGGATGGAAGGCGCTAGCTAGGGATTGGGTCTTCTGGACTGATGATGATCATAGGGTCAAAATGCATCTCAAGAGGTCCTCTGGTCCATGCCCCTGCTTCAGGTTCAACCATTGCCCTGCCATAGCCACCGAATCTGGTTTCTTGGGAAAAACATCGGCATGGGTTCTAGTCCTTGGGAGAACTGCTTCCATTCTCTTGGCCTCAGTTTCCCCTCTCTGGCTCAAGGAGGTTGGATTGGCTGATCTTTAAGTCTCTTCCACCTCTAGCAGTTTGCGGTTTGAGAAGAGGGAAAGTACTTTGGAAATGAGCATCCCGTCTGTTTGCATCACCAGCTCTGGCCCCATTCCCAAGAGTGCCAGATGCGGGGGGGTGTGCACCCGAGCCTGGCAGAATTGCAACGATGGGCTTTTTCACAGGCAAACCAGGACTTACAGTTGGAGGAGGCTGGGCCTTCCACATCATCCCCGGAGAGGCCACATGTCTACTCCAGTGGGGCTGCTGGGCTCACAAGAAGCTCTGGAAAATTCTCTCACAGAGGCCTTCTAGATGGGCTTTGGAGCCCCAGGGTACACACAGTCTCACTGCAGGCTACCCACACCTCTGTTCCAGATCAAGTTCTGCCCCCCACCTGGCCTCCCTCCTTCTTCACAAGACTTGGCCCCTAAAGACTCTCAGTCATTTCCAGAAGAGCAAAGCCACCCTGGAGGACAAAGATTCACTCCCCAGTGAGGATTTTCAGAGCATATGCCACAAGCTCTGAGATGCTTCCAAAAGAGTTTCCAGAAATGTTTGAGAAACTGCGGCAAATTAGTATGAGCATATGGCGACCCCACTTGGATGGGGTCATTGCTCCTTTGGGTGTATAAAATCCGTCTCTAGCCTCACCTCCTCAGAGCTGTGTGTGAAAAAGCATGCATGCATCGTGTATTCAACAAGCCTCAATGGCCAGGCAGGGAGAAATGCAAAGGTAGAGGTAAGGCCCCTGCCTCCTGGGTTCCAACCCTGGTTCTGAGACTTCCTGGCTATGTGGCTGGAACACACTTAACTCAGAATGACAAATATTAGAACAGGGAGGCCTGTCCCATGGCATAGCGGTTGAGTCCGTGCGCTCCGCTGCGGCGGCCCGGGGTTCAGATCCCAGGTGAGCACCGACGCACTGCTTGTCAAGCCATGCTGTGGCGGCGTCCCATATAAAGTGGAGAAAGATGGGCACGGATGTTAGCTCAGGGCCAGTCTTCCTCAGCAAAAAGAGGAGGATTGGCAACAGATGTTAGCTCAGGGCTAATCTTCCTCACAAAAAAAAAAAAATATATTAGAAGAGCAAGAAACCTGAAGGGTCACATGGTCCCCCTCATTTTACAGACGAGGAAACTGAGACCAGTGTGCAGGGGAGGAGTGATTGCCCACAGCAGTCCAGAGACTTGGGAGCAGAGGGAGAAACTGCACTCTGACCTCCCAAATCCCAACCCAGGCAGCCCATCCCAGCATCACCTCTCTACACGACCCTGCCCTTGAAAAGTAAAATAAAGATCGTAATACCTGCCTTCCCTCCTGGTTGGTGGAGAGGATTAGTGAATTAATGCATGAGAAGGTTAGGGAGGGTGAGGAGGAGAGATAAATAGAAGCGGAAAGTGCTGAGAGTGACAAAGAGCAGCCCCATCAACCCAGAGTCAGCTCCCAGAGTAGAGGCGGGCTGGCAGGAGCTGGTAAGCGACTGCATCACCAAGTCACATCCCTGTAACCTTAAATATTTCATAGCCCCAGAATTGCACCACGTGGAACAGCTTCTGCTCCTCTGGCCAGGCTGTGACTGCAGCAGGGACGTGAACACTTGCACACAAGCACACTTTACATAGACACATGCAGGCCAGGGGAAGGGGCCGGGACAGGGCCGGCTCCAACTCTTACCCATTGGAGAAAGGGTCCCAAGAGCAGGTGTCAGGCCCTTGCACTCCCCAGCCCTGTGTGTGAGCAACCCCTGCCTTCTTCCACCCACGAGCCCAACAGACACTCACAGTCACTCACCCAGCTCTGGGCATAAAAAAGGTCAAAATGACACACACACACCTTCACAGACAGACCCTCTCCAGCTCACGCGGGGACCCCAGCACCAAAGGCTGCAGCCAGTCCCCCTGCACCTCCCGCTACCCACCAACGCTTCGCCCACCTGCCCCGGCCTCCTCCTCCCGAAGCCGGTACCAGGAGCTGGTTCTCCTCCCTCTCCCAGCTCTCTCCTCCTCTGCCTCCACCCCAGCACCAGCTGCTCCAGGACCCCTCTTCCCACGCAGCGCCCCACCAGCTGTCTCTCCAAAGCCCGAGCTCTCTGGGCCCCTCTCCTGACCTGGAGCTTTGGAGGCAACAGGGTTGAGAATCTGGAGCTTGAGAAGGTGACATGAAGGATGGGTGTGAGGCTTCGGGAGGAATTTCCAGGACCAGACGGAAGTGTGAGGGAAAGAGGGACCAGGAAAGAGGCCTAGCGAACTGAATGACTCGGGTGGGGGGCGGTGGGGTCTTCTGAGAGCCTGGAGAGGTGTCTCGCCTCACTCTGCTGTGCTGCCAGGAGATAACAAGACGGTAATACAAGCAGTGATCAATCAAGGGAGCACTTCTCTGCGCCGGGTCCTTACCTCATGCGATGCTCAACACTGCCAGGCAGAGACGCTCCTGCCCACTTTACAAATGAGGAAACCGAGGCTCTGTGAGAGGAGTCTGAGCCCCCGAGACGGGGGGTGGGATTCCCGGCTTCATGTTCCAGGGTGCTGGTGGAATGGGGCAGGGGTGGACGGGTCACCTATGCACAGGACCCTTGGGACCCTGCTCTTTGGTTAGGGGGTGGGTGAGGGAGACGAAGCCTGGGCAAGGCCTGGGCCCTAATGGGCCCTGCGTCCCGCACCCCATCCTCATCCTCTCGGCTTCAGTGCCTTCACATCTCTCCCTCCACTGTCACTTGAGGGGGGGCCGTTTCAGGGGAGGGGCTGGGAAACCCAACCAGCTATTTTCCAGGTTGGCCCTGCTACATCAAAGAGAGCAAAGGGACCCTGCAGGTGCAGGCTGGGTGTAGGGGGTCATTTCTAGGGTCCAAGTGACAGCAAAACAGGAGCCAGTTAACGTGCAAATAGAGGTCTGGCTGGCCCACTGGGTCCCTATCACCACAGCCTTGCCCTGAGAAAACTGAGCCAGGCCTGGCATGTGTAAAGAGATATGGCTGGGTGGAGGGCAGGGGAGGTTATTTTGGGAGGTAAGAGGGGAAGGGGCCATGTGAAATCCAGGCCAGGGAAGGGCTGCCCAGGAGAGGAGGCAAATGAGGGTTGAGGCTGACTCCTTAGAGGAGAGGACAATCATAGAGTCCCCAGAGAACCAGGCATTAACCTGTATGGAACTTGCCAGTTGCTTAAGGCTAAAGAAACAGATCTCTGGCCCTGGCCCCTGCCCAGCCCCTCCTCCAGAACTCCCTGTCCCTTCTCCTCCCTACTCCCAGTCCTGCCCTCCCCAGTGCCCTAGCACCTCCCCTTCCTCTATTCACACCACCACCACCACCACCCCCGCATGGTGCACACCAGCTTCTATGACTATCCTATCTCCCTCACTCCCTAGTAATGACTGACACCTTGGTCCTACACCAAATTAGTAAGTCCTTCACATAGTCTAACCTCCATCCCTTCAGTTACAGCAGATCAGTTTCATTATTCTGCCAATAGTGGAATTGGAAACCAACCTCATCTGTAAACAAGCCACAGCACCAAAGGAGTTTCGCTCTCCAGCATTCTCCCTTTGCAGCCTTTCACCTGCTTTCCGAGCCTCACAATTTAGCAAGCAGAAAGAGAAACCTATTTCACAAGCATTAGTGGCTCTCCACCTCCATTACTCCGTCTGCTGAGTCCCACATGGTCCTCTCTCCCTGAGCCCTCCACCCACTGCCATCAGCACTTCAAGAGAGAGGCTGTGGCCTCTGGAGACCCTCTAAGGTCTTCAGTTCCCCCTCCCTGCCACAGAGTGGGTTCAGGACCGGAGCCCAGACCCCAGCAACCTCTTCAAGTTTTCACCTCCGCTCTAGTGTTTCCCCCTCAAGGGAAAGTCCCTCTCCACGTCTAATCTTAGTCCCTCCTGCTGTATGCCTAAATCCCTTTTTTTCTTTTCTCTAGGAGACAAATCTTCCTTGCGTTTGCTGCCTTCTCTCCGACTCGCCAACCCGCCCCCGCTTAGACAAGTTCTTGTGGCCGCTCGCCAGCCCCGCTCCCCGCCCAGAACTCGGAGGATTCCTGGACACTCCCGGGCTGTCACTACGACCGGATCGACACACCCTCGTCGCCCGCCCGCCGCGGGGCGGTGACCCCGCAGCCGGTGGGGCGGCCACGACGGGGTTAAGGCTCGGGAGGGGGAGGGGG